TGTTAAGTCACATTCTATTCACAGAAGCAAATTTACTCCCAAGGTCTTGATCATCAAATTGGCTATTTTTAATCTGCTGCAAGAATTACAAATAAAATAATTTAATTCTCTAAAACGAATAGATTTTATGTAAACATTTTTGTTATATCAGCAAATATTTTGTATTTAAGAATATAATTTGGACTCATTAGATCATTTCTTTCCATGTTTTCCAAGAATACTAATAAAGGCGTGTCTGCAAGAATGCCTGAATTACTGTGACCTTGTATTTTGTCATCTTATTCATTTTTATAAAGTGCCTCTCCAGGCAAATTTGCAAAGCTGCATTCTTGAGATATTAATATCAATATCAGTACCAATCTTTGAATGATCATTGGTCTCAAAGACTTTTTTCCATGTCAGATTTTGAGAAGTTTTGAAACTTTGAACAAAAACAGCAAGTTTATACAATTGTCTAGGAATATCATTTACTAAAGAGTCTATCAAATGTGTAAACTAGAAAATGTAGTTATAGTATAATAACCAAATACAACATAAGATCTTCCTATAATATAACCTCAGAAGACTTAAAATAAACCAGGTAATCTTGCCCAGAAGATAAGCATTAAAGAGTAATCTGAGTTCCTCAGAAGATGTGTGTTGAAGACGTTTTTTAATCCACTCTTAAGTGAACAGTCAGTTGCAACTTTTAAAGCAGAAGTTTTAAAGATAAATATAAGTGTAAGCCAGCACCAATAACCGCAATCTGTTTGTTTTTTGAGGGAAGAAATGAACCTTTAAGAGATACTAAGTGCATACTTACAATAGCCAAGACATGGAAGCATTCTAAATGTCCATCAACAGAGGACTGGATAAAGAAGATGTGGTACATTTATACAATGGAATACTACTCAGCCAGAAAAAGAATGAAATAATACCATTTGCAGCAACATGGATGGACATGGAGATGATCATTCTAAGTGAAGTAAGCCAGAAAGAGAAAGAAAAATACCATATGATATCATTTATATGTGGAATCTTAAAAAAAGGACACAAATGAACTTATTTACAAAACAGACACAGACTCACAGACATAGAAAACAAACTTATGGTTATCCGGGGGGATGGGGGTGGGGAGGAATAAATTGAGATTTAAAGATTTGTAGATACTATTATATGAAAAATAAATAAACAATAAGGCCTTACTGTATAGCATAGGGAACTATATTCAATACCTTGTAATGGCCTATAATGAAAAAGAATATGAAAAGGAATATATATATATATGTATATGTATGCATAAATGAATCACTATGCTGTACACTGGAAATTAACACAGCATTGTAAATCGACTAAACTTCAGTTTAAAAAATGCTTCCAGTAAAGCAATGATACACAATCAATTGTAAATGAATCTCAAAGTTAGAGTGTTACAATGTTCTTAAAAGTCCTCATCTTAGAACCAATAAAACATAGTAGGTAAAGAACTTTGACTAAATTGGTTAGTACATTCAAATAGTCAATGTGATCATTTTATTCAGCTGTCTTTTTCAGACAATTAACTAGCAGAAAGAAGTGACAGTTAATTGAGTTACAATGTTAGTATATAATTAAATAGACAATCCATCTATCTTCCTTGTGTAGAAGACATCAAGTATCATTTATGGATTTGTTCTTGATTGGAAATGAGAATGCACTTCAAGAACATTCTCATTTGGTTACACAGGCTACAAATTTAGAGATTCATTTTAAAACTCTGTCAGAATAGAATCTGTAGGACTAAGATCTCAAAATTATTTGGTAAATATTCAAACATTTTCATGCAGACTTCATCTTGTTAGACACATTTTCAACCTTCAACAAATGTGTAATATTATTTTACAAAAGTGTAATATTGTGTATTTACTGCATGGTAAAATGAGAAGAGCTTTGCCATTGTCATATTGTTGTTTTGATTATATTACCAGTTGTTCGTATCTCCCTTCAAAAAGGAGTAGGGATAGCTAGTGAGAAGGGCAAATATGGATGCCACCATTGATTGACCTTCCACCTTCCATGAAAAAGGTCTCCATTCATCCTGCCCCAGTGCCACCCCAACCCTACCCCCACCCCTGAAACCTCAGGCTTGGCATTAGACCCCTTCACAACACAGCACAGCAGCAGATCAGACTTGGCCCCTTGATATAAAGCTATTTCCCATCCTGAGACAGGGCAATTTTTCCCAAAGATAAGAAAAAGATTCCTTACGTGAACATAAATCATTTAACAAAGAGGTGCAGAGGCGGTATGATTTCCCAAGGAATCACTTTTCTTAGGTGGTTGTGCCTCAGTCATTCCTTTGTGTAAGGTCTAGCTGTTGCTTTTCTTTCCCCAGACACATACAAAGCCAGAAAGAGATCACGGTGCCAAGTCTGGTCTGTGATATAACCTGACTCTTCTCACCCTGGAGACCTGCCTGGCTACCACTCTCTGCTAGCAGAGTACATTGGTGAAAATAACTCAACTGCACAGATTATTGCAACTACAAATTCAGAACCTCGGTTGAGCTTTAAATACTACTCAGAAATTCCTGGGCTTGGGTGACACCCAATTCTGCTCCTCTAAGAAGCTATTTCAAATTGCCACCCTCTCTCCCAGGCTCCTGCCTCATACACTCAAGCCTCAGTGAATGCCTTCTTCCTTCTGAAGGGAGTAAAAGCCATAGCATATTTATTTCCTTTCACAGCCCTCATTTTGGCAGCAGATCCCCCAGCCCAGCTGATTCAGCCTCCACGCATCGAGTGACACTAGCCCACTGAGTTTTCCCAGCTGCCGCGCTAAACGCCACGTGATGGAGACCAGCCATTGTCATTGTGCTTTCC